AAAGCCCCCGTTTGGCTGGCTATATTCTAACCAAAAACCGCTCTATGTTCTTAGAGACCAATGGCAATGTTGCCTGGCTCTACCATTGCCCGAAATTTTATTCACCTTTGCAATTAATGGATGAATGCTATAATCGCATTCCCATTATGTATAAGGAAAACATTCGATTTGTCGATCCAATTACGCGACAAACTTTTCAGTCGGCAGATCTACAAGACTGCTCCGACAAACATTCGAATCTCTTTCAACTAGATGTTGATGATGATAAGTCCTGGATTGAATTAACCCCTCAAATTACAAGGGTTACAGGACCATATCTCTTTAAACCAAAAGAGATAATTCAAAAGATTAAGCATTCTCTAGCCTCTAGCCAAGGCGCTTCAATCTACACTTATGCTCAAATGCAAAAATTCTGGAATATGATTTCCGATAATTCAGAGATGAAAGGAATACTGCAAAAAGTATCCAGGTCCTTTCTAAATGCTAAAAAAATTCTTTTCAAGGACTCATACAGCCCACTAGGCTCTTCCCAAACAATTTATTTGGACTATCTCATCTCTCCAAACTTTTGGAAAAACGAATACACCCGTATATTCGGAAAAGTACAATACTATTTAGAAAAATGCGGAATAGTTTTCGCCTCTTTTCTTTTTGTGAAATTTATACTAGATTGCCTAGTATTCATAATAAAGGCTATGCATATTCACAAAATCACCGGCCGCTCACTACACTTTGGCAAAGTATTGCTTGCCGCTTGATATAATATACTTTTCACTTCCATAGTGACCTCAATTTTCACTCAAGATGAGCAAACTGAAAAAATAGAACAAGATTGTGATCAAAAAATACAAGCTCCTCTTTTAGAGGAAATTGATAAAATAAACCAGGATCGCATGTATCCTCACATCCAATTAACAAGTTTTGAGAGAAGAACTCAAAACTTGGATCACCCAACAAACCCAGTCTAATAAAAAAATTCTACTGTTCTAGGATATACCAACTGATTCAACTATGGACGCAACACTTGATGACGACTTGAGAGATTTCGAGGATCTCCTCTCCTTCCCGCCACCAACCGATCCACTGGACTCGCAGATTTCAGCACTCACTCAACAACCAACTGTTTCTACTACTACAACACCAACTGCAAAGCCGACCTCAACACGATCCTTCGTTGAGCCACTACTTCAAACCAATTCAGCTGTCCCAATAACTACAACATCACAGCCACCACCCCTAAAAATTGCACCCCCTGATTTCAAAATACCCCTGGTTCCCTCGAATTCTAAAATTAAAAAACGGACCCAGATTGTAAAACCATATAAGATACTAACGGCAAATACGCCGGTATCAACTTCTCATTGTCCAATGACCATTAGGCGACAGCCCTTGCACCCCACTGAAATAAACACTAAATTACATTAATTCTAACAGCAATCCCGGCTTCATATGATTCACTTTTTATTGCATACACTGACGGTTTCAATATGGATACTGGAATCCAAGTTAAACCAACCCCAGAAACGGGAACTATTCATAATGCCGGCCAACCAAATTCTACTTTTCTCACATTAAGTGATGATTCGCCGCCACTCCAATTTTCAAGTCATCAAATTGACTACGAAGCTCATATAGGTACCAAATTGGACTATATTCTTTTTTATAGCTTCTACATGCTCAGAACGGCCGAGTTAGCCCTTCTGCAAAATCAATGTGAGCTAGAACGCTCCTCAATATTAAATACTTTAATGCTTTCACTTGAAAGCCCCCGTTTGGCTGGCTATATTCTAACCAAAAACCGCTCTATGTTCTTAGAGACCAATGGCAATGTTGCCTGGCTCTACCATTGCCCGAAATTTTATTCACCTTTGCAATTAATGGATGAATGCTATAATCGCATTCCCATTATGTATAAGGAAAACATTCGATTTGTCGATCCAATTACGCGACAAACTTTTCAGTCGGCAGATCTACAAGACTGCTCCGACAAACATTCGAATCTCTTTCAACTAGATGTTGATGATGATAAGTCCTGGATTGAATTAACCCCTCAAATTACAAGGGTTACAGGACCATATCTCTTTAAACCAAAAGAGATAATTCAAAAGATTAAGCATTCTCTAGCCTCTAGCCAAGGCGCTTCAATCTACACTTATGCTCAAATGCAAAAATTCTGGAATATGATTTCCGATAATTCAGAGATGAAAGGAATACTGCAAAAAGTATCCAGGTCCTTTCTAAATGCTAAAAAAATTCTTTTCAAGGACTCATACAGCCCACTAGGCTCTTCCCAAACAATTTATTTGGACTATCTCATCTCTCCAAACTTTTGGAAAAACGAATACACCCGTATATTCGGAAAAGTACAATACTATTTAGAAAAATGCGGAATAGTTTTCGCCTCTTTTCTTTTTGTGAAATTTATACTAGATTGCCTAGTATTCATAATAAAGGCTATGCATATTCACAAAATCACCGGCCGCTCACTACACTTTGGCAAAGTATTGCTTGCCGCTTGATATAATATACTTTTCACTTCCATAGTGACCTCAATTTTCACTCAAGATGAGCAAACTGAAAAAATAGAACAAGATTGTGATCAAAAAATACAAGCTCCTCTTTTAGAGGAAATTGATAAAATAAACCAGGATCGCATGTATCCTCACATCCAATTAACAAGTTTTGAGAGAAGAACTCAAAACTTGGATCACCCAACAAACCCAGTCTAATAAAAAAATTCTACTGTTCTAGGATATACCAACTGATTCAACTATGGACGCAACACTTGATGACGACTTGAGAGATTTCGAGGATCTCCTCTCCTTCCCGCCACCAACCGATCCACTGGACTCGCAGATTTCAGCACTCACTCAACAACCAACTGTTTCTACTACTACAACACCAACTGCAAAGCCGACCTCAACACGATCCTTCGTTGAGCCACTACTTCAAACCAATTCAGCTGTCCCAATAACTACAACATCACAGCCACCACCCCTAAAAATTGCACCCCCTGATTTCAAAATACCCCTGGTTCCCTCGAATTCTAAAATTAAAAAACGGACCCAGATTGTAAAACCATATAAGATACTAACGGCAAATACGCCGGTATCAACTTCTCATTGTCCAATGACCATTAGGCGACAGCCCTTGCACCCCACTGAAATAAACACTAAATTACATTAATTCTAACAGCAATCCCGGCTTCGATATGGATCTCAATTATGCTTTGAATCCATTAATCAATTGTTTTAAATTAGAAGCCTATCACCCTATATAAAAATGTATTCCATAACTAATTCCCTTCTTGAATATCAAAAAATCTATGTCCCAGCAAAATATCTGACAGCAAAATTACAAACCCCCCAGTTAGATGACTATACTGAGCAAATTCAGCGCAGTCATATACATGAAACGCACCAAATCCGGGAGCTGAAAAAGCAAATCCACAATTTGAAAACAAAAAATCAACAACTTATAGCCCGGTTGGAAGGAAAATTGTAAGAAATTTATCCTTTTATTTAAACATTTATTCTTTCGCTTTATATAGCTATGTAGTATAGCTATAAATTTCCTTTTAACAATTTTGACTTTTATAAAAAACAAAAAACACAAAAAAATACTCCCTTTGTATGAACCAGTCCTCCCCTTATTACGCGTTTGGACAGACTTCACATACTTCAGGAAGAAAAGGAGACTTCGGAAAAAGAATGTTTAAGGAATAAAACTAACCTTCAAACTTTTGAGAAACAGATAATTTTGATGTATTTAATTTTATAGTTAAATCCCTTGGTTGTGTAAACTCTATTTTGATTTATAAATGTAACTGATGTATTTATTTATTCAAGCCTGACTCAAAGTATCAGTTGATTAAAAACATCTGCTACCTGTAATACCAATAAACTACTAACCAACTTTATGAGATTGAAAGAAAAAGCTTTTGTTCAAAAACATCTGCTACCCGTAATACCAACAAAACTATATGAGATTGAAAGAAAAAGCTTCGATCGATCAACAATTACCCCACTATTCAAGTGAAAGTAATAATAATGAAAGTTTTAGTTTTTTTTCCTTCTCCAAATAGGAGGATGGATATGTTCTGATTTCAAATAGAAACAGAAACATGAATTATTTTATTGCGTTCACAAAATGTGACGCCGCCGCCACCACCAAAGAAATATGTTTTTATTCCCTTGCAAAAGGAAGGGAAATGCTATTGGAATAATTCGTATAACGTTTTAAGCATTGAGAATTGAAACGACTATTCTCATTCAATACGAATAATAACGATTCCTCTCGTAAAGTACGAGCATACGAAACCTTCTTCTCGTAAAATACGAATGTACGAATAAAGAATACGAAGTTAAAAGAAACTTCTCATTTGATACGAAAAGTGGCGTGATTTCCCCATCTGAGTATAAATAGAAGCTCAAAACTACGGGAATTCATTCCAACAACTTCTCTTCTACCACCACCACCACTCTCCTCAACCACCCCAACCCTTCTCTAAAATAATATTCAATCTCAGAGAAAAATATCTCCAATCTCACCGTAAAAAATAAATATTGAGTCAAAAGGCAACTTGCTGTAAATTCATACTAACTTCTTTTTTTAATAAAATATTTCTCAGCGAATTTTAGATTTACTTTCTAAGATAGAAAGTAGAAAGGGCCCTTTATTCCTAGCAAGCGTTTTGTCCGGCGCACATAGTGTTGCTAGCGTAATACTTCACTCAAAATTTATTCTAATAACAGCATTTTAAGGCTCAGATAAAGACAAATGACTAACTTATCCAAAACATGTTTATTTCAAAATTTATTCTAATAACAGCATTTTAAGGCTCAGATAAAGACAAATGACTAACTTATCCAAAGCATGTTTATTTCAAAATTTGTCCGAGAAGTCCGAAATTACGTTTAATAACAAAAAATACTTCTTCATCGTTCATTTCCTAAAAAGTTAGAAATGGAAATTTTAAAAGAAGAATTGTGGCGTTATAGGCAGATTGGGTCAAGGTCAAATAAAAGTGATCGAGGCCATTCGACTAGCACAGGATAATCACGAGAAGAATTCGGCGAAGCTGTCTGGGTTGAAGTTAATGGCGGGAGAGATACACGAGAAGCAATCACAGGTAATCTCTGGGACCTTTTTATTATATAACCCAAAACTATACTATTTTTATCTTGTTAAAATTTTATAAAGAATGTTTTTTTTTCTTCAAATTTTATGTTTCTAAAGCTTTACTATAACTTGTTAGAGCAAATTTTGAAAATAAATCAAAATAAATTGTTCGAGCCAGCTATTTATCGCTTAAAATTAGAAATTCGTCGAAAATTTATATTATCAAAAACTTCACATAATTTATTGTATAGGAAATTGAGGAACTTGCAGCCAACCAATCCGATCTGTTTCATAATTTGACGAAACATCTCGAAGCAACCATTCAAAATTCAAACGATCGGAAAACTCGGATGGAAAAGATTCTTAAGAGCGATTTCAAAGAGTCTCTTCTTCAGAGTAAAAAAGACGTTTCAAGTAAACTGAAGCTTTTGGACTTTGAACAGAAGCAATCTTTCAAATTATTCTCGGTCGAACAAAATGACCTAAAAAGCGAAGTTTTGAAATCGCAGAACCAAAATTATGTTCATGCTTCTGAGCTGAAAAATTTGATGACGCGTAATATGAACAAAATAAAAGCGAACAAAAACTTTCAAGGCGCGCAAATTGTTGATTTTTCGCAGCGCCAGGAACATTTGGTGGATGACTTGCGAAACTTAATCGGTCATCACGAGAAGGAAACTAAAAGATCTCTTCAGAATTATTCCACTGAGTTTGAAAAAATTTTAGATGGCTGTAAATTGAGATTTTCTAATGAAGTCAAAACGTTCCTGGAAAATCCTCTGGACGATTCGTTTAAACTTGCAAACACTGATTTCAAAGATTTTCTCGTCAAAAATTTCTCCAAAATATTCAAGAATGAAGAAATTCAGTTGAATGAACAAATGGAACAATTGCAACAATTGACGTGTGATGTTAAGGGTTATTTTGAAAGTATGATAAATAGAGAGTCATGTCAACACGAAGAATTAGTTCATGTTTGTGAAGTGACCGCGAAAGAAGAACTACAGATCTTTCTAGAAAAGGTAGAAACAATGCTGAATGAGATCGAGAAAAAGCAGCAAACGGCATTAGAGAAATGGTCAACATTATACAGGTATTTATTGCTCGCAAAAATTAAACTTTTAACTCAGTTAGTTGCACTTTAATGTCATTTTTTGTCCTCTCCTAAACTGAAGTTCTGGTTACATATTCTTCTTAAAAATGAGATTAAATGATGTTTTTTTATGGCATTGCACTGTAATGTCATTTTGCACTTTACTAAATACGTTGCACTTTAATGTCATTTTTTTGGGGGAAAAGACCAACACAGGAGCTGCATGCCGCTGTTGTGCCCCTGTTTAAGAACTACATGCAAATTTTTTGGTTTTTTTTCTGGGCTGGGTAATGTTGCTTCACCCTCAAGCAACGAGCACGAATCATGGTGGGCCTCGAACATCCGACCTTTCGATTGAGAGGCAGAGACGGAACCACTTCACAACCGCTCCCCAATGAGGAATCAAATGTCGTTTGAACCTACGGGTGTTTAGTATCCATGGTTGTTGTTGAAAAGAAAACTAAAGGAGATATTCGAAAACAACTAAAATCTGTGATTTAGCAGCTAAAAATGATAGTCATAAGGTTTTATGCAAAATAAAAGCGCTATACATACTTTTCTATCTCAAAAATGCTGGTTATTGATTTTTTTCGTTATTTTTTGCATATCAGAATCCTCACTCAGAAACAATAGGCAATTTTGACAGTTACAGCAATGATTCAAATTCAAATAATGAAACAAAGTGTTTTTAATAGTGATTAGACGATATGAAAAATCTTTTTGTGATGCATAAGGTTACAAATTGACATCACTGTTTTATGTTTTTTTTGGAGTAGCATAGGAAAGTTGATCATAACACTTAGACATTGGGATTCCTTTTAAATTTAATTTTTTGGGTGAATGCAACAGATATTTTTTCGAAGTAATTTTATTGCTTTCAGAATAATTGCGGCAACCGAAACAAAAAATTTGGAAGATTTTTTTTTCTATTGTCAGTATAGAAAAATTTTTCACAGCCTTTGACAAATTGGAAATATTCCTTTTGTTTTAAAACTATAAAGACATGGAGCTGAAAAAATATATTATTTTTTGTTTTCTTCACGCATATTTTTATCAGAACATATTATAATTGATTCCGTTTGCGATTAGCAAGAGTTATCAATCGAACACATCGCTTTTTTCCGGGTTAATAATTAATGTAACAAAATCAGTTTAATCACTTATGATGCTGCTATGCCGTTGAAATGCTCAATCTTATAAAAACTTTAATTTAACTACCGAGTAATTGTTTCGACTCATACTTTATCTAAAACACAATTTTTTGTAGATATAATTATAGAATGTTGACATTAATTTTCGACTGATGATTTTTCGGATCTTATGAAGCCGTTACTAGAAATTTTTTTCCATATGTTTTTTGACAAGTTTCAGCTTATTGGATGTAAGTTAATTAACCGATTTTTTTCCTTAAAAAATCCGGTAGTGGTTTTGAAATCAATAAGACTCTGGCACCATTTTTTTGAAAGCCATAATTCAACTCCACTAAGACCTCTTTGAAAAGTTTAAGTTAATTTAAATACAAAGAAAATGCTTTTTTTTGCTTTCAATTTTTTCCCTCGTTTTTCCTTCTTCAATTTTAACATAGTTTGAAGTTCTTTTTTCTTACTTTTCATCGTCATGGTGCTCTCATCTTATAATTTTTGTATCGCAAGTGGTGCGATGCTCAGCTTCGCCTCTGTGTTAAACATTTCTTGTATCACGGCTATCACGGCTATCACGGCCTATGCATTGTCCTGACTGCTTTTTAGGGCATAATTAATAAAAACCGTTTCTTGAAAATTTTTACAAGTTTGTTAAATTTTCCCCCCTAGTTTGTACAGTGTGATATGTTTCTTATCTAGTAACAAACTTTAGGGCAATATTAAGTTACCTCAATTATTTTTTGAATAGTTTAATTTACATAATGCGTTACGGCTACGTGTTTGTAGAAGTCTTGTAAATTTTCATTCACCGCAAACGCTACCTTCTAACGGCATTTTTTTAAAGTTGATCAAAATCAGTTTTATAACTCTTATATTTTCACGGAAAATGTTCACAGGTGAAGTAAGTTTTTGACTTTGAGCTCAAGACAACAATATTCTTCATATGGTATCAAACAATTTTGTCAAAAGCGGTTAATTACAAAAAAATCGAAATTGGTGCGCATAAAACAAGAGCGCTTTTATATCAGGGCAAAACCTGAATGCTCCAACTGGCCTTTAACTGGTCACAAATAGTTTTTGGCAAACGAGATTTTGATAGACTGAAAAGTTTCGACTGCCAACTCAAATAATAAAAATTAAAATGTGAGACGCATAGCATATTAATGTGATCAATCCTTTTTATGCCTCACTTACACTTGGAACAATTTTGAGTGCACGTAAAAAAGAAATTTTTAACATTAAACGCTTGGAATCTATATCTTCATTTGGCTTTAAAAAATTTTTTGTTTGGTAAAAAAATGGTTGAAAAATTCTACCAAGCACATTGATTCGGTTATTTTCTACAAAAATTGGGACAAAAATTACCCTAAGCTTACGTGTTCTGGCATTTTCTTAAAAACTGAGACTAAAAATAAGTTTATACTAGAAGTTAAACGATGTAGCAGCCTTCACAAACTCTTTATTATAGTTTTTTTTGCCCCGGTTTTATTCAATGCAGGACTAACCATGATGGAGGAGTAATGTCATCCATTTTGCCGCAGACAATCCCACCTTCAAGAGGTGGATGATACTGGACCCATCCAACCGCATTTTTTTTGCTTTCAGGAATGCACTCTCAACCGGGTCTCCTCTTTACTCCTCCACTTCCCAGACTGATATCGATGACTCATGATTGCAACAGGAAACGATTGAAGAGATGAGAGGCTCAGTTAAATTTTTTCATTGACAGGTTAAAGAGAACTAGATTAATGGATTTTTTGTACGGTTGTTAATAACATAATATGGTTGCTACTCGCAAAACATTATTATAAATTGGCAATTACCTCCGGATATGAGGGGCAAAAATTGACTTCAAGGGCCTCAAAGGCTAAATTGCAGCTTGTTTCTACCGAACAGTTTTAATAAAATCGTGCATTTACTCCTTTTTATTGTCATTTTGTGCTAAGACCATCCAAAAATCAAGGTTAAACGATTTATTTAAATCACTCAAATTCTCTTAGTGAACGAACTGTTAAACTTCAAACTGGAAGTATTTCTTAAGGAACCAATTTTTCGGACAGTTTTTTCTTTAGATAATAAATTTGATGAGCATACAAAAAGTTAAATAGAATTTTTCTGGATAAAAGTGACTCAGAACTTTTCCATTATAGTATTTCAAGCTAGCATACAATGTGACCATCAGTTTTTTTTATCTACCTTATCTCATTTTTTGAATCTATAAATTGCTCGAGCGGATGAGGGGGGGTTAAGAGCTGATTTGAACTACCCGAACAAAACGATCAATCAAATTTGGAATATTAAACGGATTTTTCTCAAGTTGAGTTGACATTAGGCACAAAATCGTTAAATAAAAGTTGCTTTGAGTTTTACATAATTAACATGGTGCAATTTGTTTTGCAGGATCAACCGTACAATTTCCCCGCAAATCAATTCACGGGGAAACAATTTGAAAGATAATATTTAGAAGAATGTTAAATCACCTTGCTTAACAGATTTAATAGTCAAAACACAATAAAAACGTCGATTTAACTGATGTTATGGCCTAATAAAATACGAATTGGATGAAAAATCTCATACGAATAATTATGAGCTAATTATCAAAGTTACGTGCATGCTTGGGGAGGACATTCTACTTTACAAAACTTAGGGGGGATTGTACGGCTAATCCTACTCGGTTGATCCGTTTTGCGAAATTCAGGCGCAAAGTAGGGGTCCTTTTACTGATTCTGCCCAACTTTTTAATTTTTGCGATTTGTAAACTTCAACGTATAATTGCAGAGAACAAAACATTGATTGCACTGATTGGTTTGCTTAATACAAATTCGGACAATTTATTCTTCAGTCGTTTTCCAACAAGGCCCAATTTTGAGCAGATGGATTGCAAGTTGGTCATTTTTTCTCGGAGCTCAATTTCGTTGATTATTTTCTTGTCTGGGTAAAACACTGCAGCTTATTTGAAATAAGATTGAATGTTTTACCAAACAATATACTTTTTTTGGCTAATTCGGTTTATTTAAAAAATAATTGAATGTTTTGAAAAAATGTTTTGTCATAGTTCTGGAATTTGATTGGTTTATTTCATCTAGCCAATCAAATTGAAGCAACGTTATTTTAGTGGGTGCTATTTTCTCATGATGGAAAGACCGAATAATGGACAAATTTCAAGCAATCAGAATCAGTAGAAGTTTTTCTACGTTGATGGGTTTTTACACCGAACACAAGTCAGAATTAGGAGAAAGGGAAATAAAGGATGTACAGTAGTATGTTAATGGATCATGTGAGCCATAGAAAACCCATACTTTGCCCCAAATATCAAAAATCATTCTTGACGCTCGGAAAAAGGACATGTTTGAGCCTGATACTATCCGAATATCTAATTTATCACTTTTGACTATCCGAGAAAATTACTGGCCACTTTTAACCCCCAAAGGGTTTAAAGCTCCTACTTTTTCGGGCACATATGTTTTAAGGGGGGTTAAAATTGGTAATTTTTCAGCCACTTTATGGAAACGGGGAATGGAATTAGGTTTTGGTTGGTGCATGTTTTCCCTTCTAAAGTTTGGTGGTATTGGCTTGTTTACATGTAAAATGACGTTATATACCTATTTTATGCAACCAATCGAACCTAATGCAACCAAACTATATGGTATATAGGAAAGAACAAAATTTTGGCAGCGTAGCTTAACTGTTGGCTGCGGTGAACGATTTCCTTCAAAAATGCATGTTTAATCGCTGAATCTCGAAGAATGAAAGTTTGTCAAGTGCGGCAGCCGCCACCTCTATTTAGGCAAAAATTTATGATCAATTTGACCAAAATAAGAATGAAAAATCACTTTAAGACAAATGAAGGTAAAAAAGAAAGAAAAATTACGAAACACTGAAAACTCTAAAATTATGAAATTGGCTTGAAAATTTCGACTTTTCCATTTTCCGTGTCTACAGGAGACTGAAAAAACGTCTGAAATCTGTGACAAAAGCGTTGATTTTATAGAAAGGTTGAAAGAGCTAACAAGTTGAAGTGGCTAAATATCTTGAAAAACGAGAACACTGATCAAAGCCAAAAGTGCTCATTAATTTTGCTGCAGCCATTTCTAAGACTTGCATATATCACTTTTTATAATGAAGAGGAAACAATTTTCGGGGCTTCTAGAAAACGTTTAGCATTTCCTTTTAACTTGATTGTGCTAACATATATTTTAAAAATATTCATCAAAGCGGACCTAGAAACTGGGGGAAAACTGTTCTTTGTGTGCCAATATATACGACAGAACAGAGTGACCATCGAATAAAGCAGGTGAAAACTTATTTGCGACTTTTAAGGAGAGCAGTTATTCAAATTAGAGCAAACTCAGTCGGGAAAGACTGAACACAAACTAAGGCAAGTTATGGACACAAACTCAAAATTTGATGTGAATTCGGAGTTATAATTTGACCATCCAAATTTTTTGATTTTTCCATTAGAAGAATATGCAATTAAATAACTTTTTAATTTGATACTACAATCTGGTCAACTGTTCTCAGTATCTTCTAATTAAGTTCAAATTGATTTTAGCTATAGCTTTCTATTCAAAATATTGAAGCGCTATCAGTTATTATCATTGATTTACCCTCTGCTCAACAAAATAAATTTTGAGTTTTTTACTATAAATCTGATCTTTTGAATGTTTCCATGATTACGCTATTGCCTCTCTTAATACGGTGGCTTTTTGACCAAAATATTTGATTACTCATCAACAACTAAATGCGTTATCAAGAGTTCAACCTTACTTTCAATATATGTCTGAGGTGATCCAAGCTTTCACATTCACGTTCTGATCACTAGCAGGATGAAAACAGTTCGCATCATGATAATTCTTCTCGTTTTTGCGTAGATATTTGTCTTCTCTATTAACAAGACATATCTTCAAAAAACTGTTTGTTGTTTGAAATTGTAAGATAAAAAATCAAGCCTTGTCATCAACACTCTACCTGAATCTTCGGACTCCGTCAGGATGATAGCTGTTTCACACTAAGCAATGCTTTCACACAAATTTGGCTACAGCAGTTTCCGAAATGTCTTAAGTGCCATTTTGTAGTTTCAATACAAATTTCTGTTGTATTTTCTCAAGCTGGAACGACTAACAAAGATATGTTTAGTTTGCCAATAAAAAATTTGTTAGAACTTTTGACTTTGAGGAATTAAAATTTTAAGCCTCAATGCAGAAAGACTTGCTATTTATTTCAAAGACAAAAAGCGTACGCATTTTGAGCTATTTCATAAAAAGCTCCATCGACCCAATAAATCTTGATTTTAAAAAAATGATACTGACTGTTTGTCTGATTACACAATTGCTTCACTTCTGTGGGTTTATAAGTTTGATTCAAAATTATGATTTTTCAAATGAAAACCATTGAGAATTTGTGGTTTTTAGAGATTGATCAATCATCCTTCAAATGTACAGTACCTGTCACTGAGACTTTGCTTGCTTACCGTCTTCAGCTTTACCAGCCGCATATCATTTTCTACCATTCTTCTATCGATCTTGTTCGTCTGCACGATCAATGATTTTCCTCAATAAACCATAAATTTTTTCTAATAATTTTGTTATCATAATTTTTATCTCTACGAGCAACAGTTCATCAAACACTTTGGACTCCATGCTGTCTCCAATTGGACTTGTTTTTTGATGCTTCCATCGACAAATTTTTGTGAAAACTTGAAAACTGATCTTTTCTGTTAAAATTTTAAAACATTTTTCGTAACCATTGACTGCAGACAATTTGAAATTATCCGTGCTGCATATGCCACTTTTTCAAATTGAATTGTTCATAATGATGATACCTAGAAAGTCAAATCTTTCAAGGAAAATTTTTTAAAAAAATTTATGAAACTGTTTTGCAAATCAAGATAAGGAAAAAACTATCATTATAGTGTCTGGTTGATTATTCTAGAATATTCGAAAAGATTAAGAAAAAAGATAAGAAAGATTTAGATTGAGTTACATAGATACTTTTATATGAAATAAAATGAACATATACAACTATACTCAAACATACATACCCCACCAAACATCTAAAGCTGCATACTTGTATAAACATAAAAAACATAAATAGGTTTTCATAAGTTGCAAAGTTAAATGCATACTTACAAATTATAGTCATACGTATTTTCTTACATACATACGTCTCTTCATACACATTTAAGTACCTACATAAGGTTATTCATACAAACTTACATACAAAAACAACTACATACGCACTTACTGAATTCAAAAATACATACATAAAAACATAAGCACAAACTTACATAAACACATACATACATACATGCATAAATAGATACATACATACATATTTACATATATACATACAAATACCAAGTTACTCAGAGACATTCATACAACCATACATACAAAATTACATACATATATGCAAAAATATTTCCATACATACAAACATTCAAAAATGAAGTCTTACTTAAAGGCATGATTAGAAACATACATGGTTTTATACATGAGATGAATGCAAATAATCTACCATACAAAGATAAGTTTTACATACTTGCTTACATACTTTTAAACCTGCATTCAATTCTACGAAAAGTTTTGCTTACACACATGCAAAGATTTTACTTATTAGTTCTGCTGACCTTTAAAATACAACCAAACGTAAACACACAAACCAACTTCAATTCACTTCACACTTTCAAGACAAATATATGCACACATTCAGATAAAAATAACCACGCATTACAGACTGGCATTCATACGCCTTTACATACAC